AACTGGTGAAGGTGTGCCCAGTCAGAGAGCAGTCGGCAAGGCCTCTGGGCCTTCCACTGACCAGGACACAAGACTGCCCCAGCAGGTTCGAGTCCCCTCTCAACTTCCAGCCGGAAAAACTTCTAGGGACACGCTGACCTTGGCTAAAGCAGATTGTGGGCTTTAAACGGCCCTTACCTCTGGGTCAAAGCGATCTTCAGCTTGCTGTTCTCAGACTTCAGGTGGGCGTCAGCAGGACTGGTGTGTGAGGCCTTCTCGTCGTCGGTGCCGTTGACGCTCGATGCCTGGGTAGAAGATGGGGTTTCACACCCAGATTCCCGGTCAGAGTGAATGATCTCCACACGTTACTGCTCGCCCTCACAGTAACAGCAAATCAGCCACAGGGAGAAACGGGGGTTTATGAGCGGGGACAGAACGACTCATCTGTCCAGAACATGGCGGAGACTAAGTCATAAAACAGACACTATCCGAGACAGAAACAGTCCCCGAGGAGTCCCTGTGGAATTCACTCACAGTCACAGACAAACAGGCTCGGGTGACAGGTCTCCCCTAGAATGCACAGAGCAAAGCTGCAGATTGAAGGAGAGGAGGGGCTGCCATAAACAACAAGTAACCAGAAACAGTGAATGCAGAGAGCAGAGGATTGGACGCTGGGACAAGAACTTAGAACCCCGGCACTACACAGAAGTAGACCAACACACTCATGAAAAAGGTACAGCTCTAGCACGGGGTGTTTGCTGCCTCCACTCCGGTTGGATGCGATGGCTGCACTGACGTCTCTCTGTGAAGGTGCTCAAGTGCAGGTGAAATCGCACCTGATCTCGGATGAGAGCTGACGGAGCCCCACAGGCAAGGGCAAAGGAGAGACCCTAAAGGACAATGATGCATATTCATTTGACCAATTTTAAATTTCTGCATGCCAAAAGATGCCATAAAGTAAATTAAAATGCAAACAAAAATCGGGGGGGGGGCAGCAGCAGATACTAAGCATAAAATGTTAATGCTTTTCCTATATTAAAAGGCTCCCAGAATCCTCATCTTCTAAAGGCAAACCCCTAAATCCTTGTAGATGAGAGAATACACTTGGGGTTTGCTTTAGAATAGAGGGTGCACTGGGGAGTGGGAAAGGGGATATGGCGGAACAACTGGCTATGAGTTCCTGATTGTTGGAACTGATCTAGGGTCCACGGGAGTTTTTATACAATTCTGCTTAGCTTTGCAGAACTAAACCACTTGGAAAACAGTTTAAAAAGGGGGGGAGGCAAACCCTTGGATCTTTAATCAAGAGAAAGGCATTTATAAAAGATGGTATTCATAGAATCCACAAATATAAAAATACTTAACCTCGCTAGTAAAGAAATGGAAAATGCAATATACCCAATAGGGCACCTTCTTCACCTGTCAAATAAGCAGAAATTGGTTGGTGAGTGTGTGGGAGGGAAAAAATTGCTCCCAACCACTGTTGGGTGTAAGAGCTGGGTTTTCCTGTAGGCGGTTTGTATTATGCATCAAAAGCTTTAAATACGTCCTTGCCTTTAACCTAATACTTCTACCTCTAAGAATTCATCAGGAGGAAACAAAAAAATGCACAAAGATATGCAAGAAAGCACATTGTAATATTGCTTATATTCATTAATATCATTGTAATATTGTTTATATTCATGAATATCTGAAGAAATACAGATATCTCAAATTACAGGAAGGCAGGAGAATAAACCATGATCAAATACACCTTGGGACATTATTAAAACATTCTTGAAAGCAAATATTTGAAAACATGAGGAAATGATCATAGGATATAAAGTTAAAAAAAAGGTTTGAAAGCATAGTATAAAAAGGAAAACATATATAAAAGTATATAGGAAAACTACATTAGGAGAGGTTCAAACTCATTGCCCTTGAGTTGATTCCAACTCATAGCGACTCTATAGGACAGGGTAGAGCTGCTTTCTCCCAGAGTCGGTGGTGGTTTCAAACTTCCCACCTTGCAGTTAGCAGCCCAATGTGACCACTACACACACCAAAGTATTAACAAATATCTTTGAACAGTGACTGAACAGGTGATTCATATATATATATATCCCTACTACAAACTTTTATAATAATAAATAAAATCCCACATTAAATGTTCTTTTTTTTTTTAGCTAAGTTGTTTAAATATTCAACGATTTTGAAAACTTGGCCAAAGTGTTTATTCCCTAAGAGATTCAGGACACAAGAAATCATATGATTTCTAATTTTAAAAGATACATACAAAAATCTTTATATTTGGATAACCAAACAAAGCTTAAAGATAACCATGGAAACATAACTAATTATATGTACATAAAGAAGCATCTTACAGGTATATGCTAATATTGACTTTTTTTTTACATTTGAAAATACTTCTGGGGGAAGACAAACATTGAAACTAAAACCTTATATCAAGAAACCCAGGTGTTAAAGTTTAAAGATAGCATCACTGTACTCGTGTAGTCTTGCTACAAAGTCAAAACCACCTTTGCTTTAAAAGCACCAAACTGTCAAAGACGTATTTACGCACTTCTGACAGCAGGGCCTCCACTGCTCCGACCTTCCCCACATCGCTCTGTGCTTTTTGAGACACATCATGTCGAAACAGCAGTTGTGCCACTCTGGAGGGACTCAAATTTGAAATACTCTTTCAGTTTGGGGAAAAAAAGAAGTCTGAAGGGGCAGGATCCAGGTGATGGGGTGGGCGGGACAGGGTTTCCCAAAGACGTCCTCACAGGACGCACCTTGCTGCCCTCGAAGAAAGAGCAGGTGCCTTGTCACGAGGGAAAAACCACTCTTTTCTGCTCAGCTTCTTTGGCCTTTTTTCTCACTAATGCAGTCTTCTTTTTTTTTTATAAAAAAAGCTTCTTCCCAATAAGCCTCCAAAATTACCCCGTGTCCTTTGAGAAAATCTATCAAGATTACCCCTTGAGAGTCTCCACAAAACATCGCCATAACCTTTGGAGCTGACCTCTCTGCCTTGAATCTCCCTGGCCCAGAAGATCCACAGGAAGCCATTGTTTGGATTAGGCTTTGCTTTGAAGGTACAGGAATGAAAGGAAGGTAAGCCTGTGAGGGAAAGGATGTCCCCTCACCTCTCCACCGACTGCAGAGCTGTGTTTCAACACGCTTCTCTGCCCACAAGCGCCCCTCCTTTCCTATGTGCGGCCCAGTGTTCTCCACCTGAGCCCCCCCACTCCCTTCCTGCTCTGAGCCAAGCCGATTGCTGCACCACCCGACGCAACCCTGCTGCTCCTTCCTGATCAACACCCACAAAACACTCCAGTGCCCTCCAGCTCCCCACAGCTCAAGCAACAAAACCCAGGCCCAGACCCACTGCGACAGCATCGATGCCGACTCGAAGCGGCCGTGCAGGACGGAGTGAAAGTGCCCCGCCGGCTTGCTGAGTCTGTACACCTTTATGGAGTACACGGCTGTTCCTGATTAGCTGGTCAGTGCTCAACCCACGGTGCCACCAGGGCTCCTGAAACATGTAAATAACAAACTGTCCAATGCTCACGAACTCCAGGTAATTCACCAGGTCTCTAAGTGTTAGCTCCAAGATTCCGTCAGCCCTCTGGCAGACACCTCACCCCTAATTCACCTTGCTTATTCCTGACCCCAGATCTTTGCTCCCGACCTGGTTTCTTTCCGTGTCTCTCTCCAAACAGTCTTGTCATGACATGGACACACAGCATCTACCAGTCTGCACATAGAGAATGCACACATTTTCATTTCAAGTTAAAAGAGGTCCTTCTCCGTCAATTCTCACACTTCCAAGCAGACAGACGACTCCACTCCAAAGCCTGTCTTTCTGAATAAGACAGAGCTACCATCCCTCACCTGACTTTTGCTACAATTGGAAGAGGGACATGAGATCTCTCTGGCCCCGGCAAAGCTTTCTCTCTCAAGGGCATGAGGTACCTTGAGACTCCAGGTGGAGGATCTTTCATAGAGGCCCAAAGTCCCCGACCAGCAAGGGCAGCCACTGCCCTCCTGCCGGGACGTAAGCCCAGTGAGGAGAGACTGCTCCTCAGGGGCCAGGGCCATGCATTCACTCTAATCCCATCGATTCTGTCAAAAACATAGCAGCGCATCCTGAAGAAAGTCCAAAGTCACACAGACACGTGCCACAGCCACCTCACTGTCGGCACACCGGGAGCCGAAAAAGGTCTTCACATGCCCTACTGCTAGGAATTCCTACCCCCTGCCAAAGTGGCGGGGAACAGAGAGTCTTCATCACGGCTCACACTCAGGATTTATTTGATGGGCAAATTACTTACTTGGGAATGGTTGCTTGAGGTCTCAATTTTCTCCTGCGACCGGTCTCTGGCTAGCCTTGCTGCTTCTTTCACCTCCTGGAACTTCTCTGCGAACTGAACATGAGGAACGTTGACTGAGGGTTTGTTCCACTGACACGCTTAGTATGCACAGCCCACTTGGCCCTTTCGCACACATCTTGAGTGCAACAAATTCTGTACGAACCCACGAAGGAAAAAACGAGAAAGATTTGAGACGAAAAGGAAATGACTATAGATAAGGAAACATTTCTGGTCCAGGTCAGACATGAATTATGGTGGTTTCTAAGCTACTGGCGTTAGTTGGCTGGTGAACTCTTTAAAAACAAACAATTAAACAACAACAACAATAGCCCACCCAGGCTAACAGCAACCAATGCAAAATCGACACAAGAAATGGAGCTAATAGCTCGCACCACAAAAGGGAACTTAGGAAAAGTGTCATCATTTCTACTGACTAGATCCAAGAATCCTTTTCACAAGTCAAGACCATGAAAACAGAACGAAGCAAAACAAAAAGATTGGGGGTGGGGGAGCTGTTCTATATTGTCACAGTTGAAGATACAGTAGAGGGCGGCATGCAGGCTACGACTGACTCTGCTTTGGACAGACCACCTATCAAAGACTTCTGGGAGCTGGCTACTGAGGAAATCTGAATAGTGACTCAACCCTAAGGCGACACCAAGGAATATTAATAAGAGTTTTGCTAGATGTGCAATGTAATTCTATCAGCAAATGTTCTTGTTTTTGTTTGGGGGATGAGTACTGATGGAGTGAAGATCCTAATTATCTGCAATTAACTTTTAGATGCCTCAACAATAACAATAAAGTCAATGAGGAAATGTGGCAAAAGGTACAGCCATTATATGCCCATCTTGTGCAAACAGCTGCTATAGACCCATTCCCTCCCTTATCAACAGGGTAAGGTCCCACAGGCCAGGCCACTGTGCACCATCAACCCCGGACAAAGCTCTTCTCTGCCGGACAGCAGCAGAACAAGCACAGGGAGGCACTGCGGCACACGTCTACAAGGGTTTTGCCCCATCTTTGCGCTATCTAAGCTCAGCTTCCAGACTAAGAGGGACTAGAAAGAAAGCCTGGGACAACAGAAAAGTGAGTGAAGGGAGACACTGGACAGTGTAAGGCATGAAAAAATAATAATTTCTAAATTATCAAGGATTTGTAAGGGGGAGGGGGGCAGAAAATGATACCAAGGGCTTAAATAGAAAATGTTCTGAGAAGGATGATGGCAACAAATGTATAAATGTGCTGGACACAATGGATGGATGGATGGATGGATAGATTGTGATGAGTTGACAAGCCCCCAATAAAATGATTTAAAAGAACGAGAAAGAAAGGACGCCCGAGGACCTACTTCTGAAAGCCATCCAGTGAGCGCCCTATGGGTCACAGCGGTCTGATCTAGTCATCATGGGGATTGTGATACTTAAGGTTTTGTGTCCACTTGGCTTGGTCAGGATGCTCAGTGGTTTGCTAATTAAGACATCCCATAATGAGATCTTTCTGTGGTAGGGGCCTGCTTCCCATGCAAGTGGGAGCTCTGGAAAAGCTTGCCTGTTTTGTGCTGAGCCTGGATCTGGTATCTGGCTTGAGGACTTCCGGTTCTTGGACTTGAGCCAATGACCTGCCAATCCTGGCAGTCATCAGTGGCCTGCCATCTTACCTGCCAACCTTGGGCTCTACAGCCAGAAGCGTGGCTTCTTCCTGCTGATCTGGGCTCATCAGCCCTTGCAGCTATGCGTGCCAGGAGAAGCCTCCAGCCCACCATCCGGCCCACGGACCTCACCAACTTCCACCACTGGAAGCTATAGCCTTGAGATACACCTCTTTTTCACTCTTACTCTCTATTAATATGTGTACACACAGAGAGAGAGAGAGAGATAGAAGCTTCGTTAATTTTGCTTCCTTAGAGAGAACCCAGCCAAAGACGGGAATGGTTCAAGAGGGGGTATTTTTTTGTTCTGCTGTATATGGGATTGCCGTGAACTGGGGGCTGACAGGATGGCAGCTAACAACAGCAAAGTCATCTCAGCAGCGAGTATGGACAGCCACCACCGAGACATCAGGTGAAATGAAGACACCGAAGGA